AACCGGGTCAAAGGAAAGCCTGGGCTTCGGCGAGGTGTGAGAACGTTGTGATCATCGGGCAACGAACAGCAAACGCTTGGCTCAAAACTCTGTCAGATGCGACTAGTGGGCTGTTACTGACGTTGACTGGGAAAGGCATAGATGTAGTTAAAAAACGGGACGTGAGAGGATCTGTGAGTGCATGTTGAGCAGCGGAGACAGTATAGCCAGTAGACATAGCAAGAGTGAAAGCAGTAGTATAATCCATCCATGATTCGTCAGTGAGCCCAGGCCTAAGTAGAGGGTTGTTTTAGGGAGCCCACCCAGAGCATTTGATCCAGGATCTGACCTACAAAGCAGCAGGGCGATATTAGTATATCGCAACCCGTTGGGAGCCGATGACCAAAGAAGTTGTTCATACGCCTTTGAGACCGTAAAGTACCAGGAGCCAAATACACCCTTGAATTATAATGCCGCCCAAAGAGAAGCAAGGGACAGTGACTATATTTAGTCGCGAGTCACATCCGCCACGTCACAGTGTTGTTAACCTGAGATATGTGGCATTTTATAGGAAGAACGCTTGTCAGGCGAAAACCCATTACTTACTGGAACACTGTTGTCGATTGATTTGAACGGTCATGTACATCTGGCAAAACCTCTTAACAACCATTTGTTCACTGTTATTCGCGGTCGCATGACCCCTGTTGATTGACCAGATAGCTCAGTCAGGTTCCGCCATAGCGGATGAGGCCAGTCGAGCAGAGTGAATAATTGTGCAGGTAAGCTACAGACTATCTAGGGTCTCACTTTCTCTGCTTTTGTATACTTGCTGGAGTGTGAGGAATTCGTGTCCAGCTATCCTCACTGGACATCAGTCGTTGTGTTGGGTGCAATTAGTTGGTTTTGGTATAAGGCCATGATCCAGGTGAGTCCTTGTTGGTTATTTGTCCCATCTCAGATGGAGGCAGTTCCTCAGTCCAATCCTGGATCTTAATAAAGTTCCCGCCCTCGAAGAAATGGGAAAGAGAGGAAGAGTTGGAAAACTGTACATTGCTGAGCTGGTTCTGGGTGGCCAACACGGCGTAGGCTCCCGTAATGACAGCGGTGAGCGGTGGCTGCACCTGTGTGAAGCTGCTCGTGAGCACTAACTTCCAACACAGCACCACTAGCCTTGGACCAGCCATGAACGCAATTCGATCACATCGCGATCAGTTACTATCGGAGAAGCTGCGTCTAAAAGTGCCACTCAACTTGCAGCACGAGCGTGGACTCCGACCACACACTCATATGTGTCGACCTGTGGTTACGTTTTGATCGACGTCTGCAGTGACCCTGTGAACGCGTAAATACTTGCCAACTGGTGAAGCCAGATGTTCCGAGTGCGTATCAAAGTACGCTGGCATGCAGATTGAGTAATCGCCCAGTGAACACAGTTGATGATCACTGATCGCATGTTCGTCGCAGTAATGTTTTCTTGTGGCAAATCAGATCGCAAACCTGAACATTGGGTCTCTACGCCGATGTGTTCCGGCTGGAAGTGAATACAATGAAACGCGCAAAAAGCTCAGGGCAAAACTGCGTGCTAGCTTAAAGAGAGACCAGTGGTGGTCTCTTCGTGCACCGGAAATGGAGACAGCCACCGTCCTTGGTAACTTTCCGTCTAATACGCGAGTAGGGAAGCAGGAGAGCTGGTATAAACGAAACCATTTGCGACGAGAATGGACAGCTAATCCGCAACTAGTCAAAACGCTTGCAGAGTTACACCGAGTACTTTGTGAAGCAGTTTAATCAGCGAGAGTTACCAGTTTTAGCCGCGACGTGCGTTATTTGCGCGCCGGAGGTATGGTTGAAATAGGAGAAGGGAAGGCCACGCAATGACTTGGTCAAAAGGAATGACATGTCTAACTTTGAAGTTGGCGTCCGTTGGTACATCCCGAATACCTGGCTGGGGTCCCATGGACGATGAACAAGTTTGGTTAGACACACTGGCTGATATGGCGAAGACCCGGTTACAGTGACGTTTGTGCTGTGAGTTTCTTTGTCCATCCGCCTCTCGTTTAGATTCCCCTCCAATTACGATCTCACACCAAAGGCACAATATAATACTCAACATTATGTGACTTGTTTTCCGAATTCTTTGTAGTGTAATTTTTAGAATCTTTTCTTTTTATGTTGCGGCACAGTAGCTGAGGCGTGTTGCTTACCCTTACCCAATATGTATTGATGTATCGATGACCATTAGCCATTGATTGTCCTACTCCCTGGGCCGTTCCCTTGATTTGCCCTCACGACGAAAATCGAAAGTGAGATCTGACCGTTAAAATTGAATAAGGCTTCAGGTGCAGATAGACATCCTCTAGTCCTGTTTGTAACTCAATAGACCTGTTCTTGTAGATGAGCTGCGCAAGTTGCTTGTGAAGCTGTAGGAAGGAGAGACTGGTTAGAGACTGCATTCGCTCCATTATAGTCCCAATTTTCAAGGGAGGCTTATATTCAGATTGCAAAAGCACAGAGATCAGTCTGATTTCATGTGTTTCCAAGTTTCTCGCCTCTGTTGTGCTCCATAGACTGACTGGCATTTGTGAAAGTCAGATACGCGAGAGGCAAGCCGGATTTCGCCGAAATTGTGGCTGTATTGACCACGTCCTCACCTTCCGCAACTTGTCGGAACACTGCCATATCTATTGGGGACTCACTGTAGTCGTGTTCCTCGATATCAATGTTGCCTTTGATTCAGTTGATCGATGTACTTTTCGGGACTATCCGCTCAGAAAAGGTGTGTCCGAGAAATGCAAACACTATCAAAGCGTTGTTCAGGCGAAGTGAGGGTCTTTGATAAATTGCCGTCGTGTTTTTATCATTTCTAGCGTTGTGCGACAAGTTTGCTCGCCGTCACCCTTCCTTTATTACTTCGCCACCGACGGGGTTATGGAATTGAGCATTCACTGAACACGACTTTTGTGTGAACTACCTCCAGATAAGCGACTTATTGACTTGGAGTATGTCGACGACATTGACCTAATCGGTGACAGCTCCCAAACCTGTCAAGCATCATGGACAAATTAGCATTGACTGTCAATGGTCCCGGGCTATGCTTGTCACCCTCGAAATGCAAAGTCATCCATCAAACTTGACAACAATCCACTTCTGCGCTGACTTTTGGCGGGGATCAGCGGGAAGTCGTCGGGAAATTCGTACCCTGGCAGTTAGATTAGCGCCGGTAAAGTCGAAAATGAGAGCGCTAACCATATACCTTTTGCTTTTGCACCACCTATGGCGTCGGCATGACATCACTTTTGCTCTGAAGGGTAGAGTTTACGATGCAACCGTGCGTTCAAACCTCCTGTACGGTCGTGAAACCAGGCCTATCAGATCGACAGACCTAAAGAGGCTTGTTACGTTCGACCATCGTTGTCTTCGGTGTTTAGCTCATGTCTGGTGGGAGCATTGCGTGATCAATGAGCGTGTTCGGCGTCTCTTATTTGGTGCAGAAAAAGCGAGTAAGCCACTCCGCGCCGTTATGTTACGCACCAGGCTCGGAAAACTGGGCCACTTGTTGCGCATGCCAGCACACCGACTCCGGCGACGTGTGTTGTTTGTGTGACCGGGGTCTGGACGGAAGATGAGGAGAAGCCAAGCGATGATGTAGTCAGGAGTGATGAAGTCTCGCACTTCAAATTTGGCGCCGGCTATATCTCCCGACTGCCGAGTTTGGATCCCAAAGATGAACACGTTTATTTGGATACATGTGTTGTGATGGCAGAGAACCGACCTTGATGAGGTTTGTGTTGCGAGTTTCTTCCTTCAAACACGATCTCTCTCTTGATGCCTACTATGTTGTTAAATGGTGTGTTGCTCTTTATTGCATGCTAGAACGCTCAGTGCTGTGCTTTTTGATATATCTTAGCTTTATGGATTGCGACACAATAGTCGAAGCGCGTTTCTCACCTTCAACCATTTCGTAATGATGATGATGATGATCTTTCTGATAAACAGCAGATATCGATCCACAGGGTCTCCAATGTTCTAGTGTGATTTGTGTTTGTTAGAAACACAAGCGGTGGGTGTGAATTTAGAGCTGAACGACACAGATGAAAATGCGTAAGATTGGGAATAAGAGGACAGGAAGCCCTGAGCAGTAGCATTCAAACCCCTATCTACCCTGCCCGACGCTGCAAATGGGGCGCCATTAATTAGCCTCTGCAACGGCCAGAGCATCAATGAATTGTGTGAAGAGAGATTCCTTGTTTTGCGTAGACAAGATACTGTAACATTTCCCAAGCCTAGATAGGAGAACTATTAGAGTTCTCAACCAAGGCCATTGGTTCATAAAGCTGACCGCAGGGCAGCGGGGTTTTAGTATTTGGCTACGGAAAGACCCTTTTTCGGAAAACGAGCCTCCTTCACTCCGGCCCCCGATCTGGAGGGCGAGAGAATGAGTTTCTGGCCTCTAACATTGGGTAATCTCGTATGATTGGTTCTGGAGGTACAAAAAATTACTACCCAGCGTAACTCGATGGATCGTTGTGGCAAACAAATATCGCACCCTGTTAAGGTACAGTCTCGTCGCATAATATGACACTGGGCATTATGTCACTTGTTTTTGGTTTTTATTTTGTGTTCTGTTTTTTACTTTACTTTTGTCATATATCTTTTTGTATGGCACAATAGCTGTGGTGGTTCGCACCTTTAACTGACGTGTACTCACTATGCTAGTGTTGCCACGGTTCGGTTAGTCCATCTAGCGACCCAAAAACCTTTCTTCATGACGTATTAGAGGCGGTTACAACCGGTATTTGGCTCGTCTACTTTATTAAAACGTGTTATCCTACCTTTTTCTTATTCGGCCGGAATCTACCTGATGGTTGGTTTCAGATCGCCTCATCTGAAGGTCATTGCCTCTCTTCACACTGTCTTGCTGTATTGTTGTTGCCTAGCCTCCCCACCGTGCTTATATAATTTCCTCATTATTTGTCGCTCACACAGTTTATGCATCTCCTTGTCACATCCTCTTGTTTCAGATTGTCACATTACTTGTCATGAATGGTGCACGAAAAGTGTCCAAGTTCCTTGCAATGGCTTGTTCAGCGTCAACGATCCCCCCTCCCGTGGTCCGAGTAAGGTACTTGTTCCGTCATCTTCATGTTTTATTGTCTCCACTTGTTGTTCTACCCTCGTTTATATTTTATCACCGACAATTATTTACTACAGGTGCTCATCGTACATATTCTCGATCCCTTGACCTTGCGATGCGTTTCTCGGCCTACGTTCTTTTCTTACCACACTGCTTTATGCTTCCCGTGACAGTTCTTGTACTTTCCTTTCCACTCATTTCGTTTTCTACGCCATTGTAAATAACCTGTCGTGTGAGTTAATTTTTGGAGCTTTTGAGGAGATTGCGATGGTTGTACACGAATCTTTTTCCACTGTGGTGGCTGTCCGTATGGACACCCCTTCTCAACCATTCCACCTGTGCTCATTTACTATTCCGGCCCATAACCTCTTCGGATCTCAGCAATTTTTAGTTACAATGCATTCACTAGCGCCGCTGAGACTTCTCAAGCATATTCTCACTGCTTTTGCACTTTTCTGACATTTTTGATGATACTTCTCTCTTAAAAGGATTAAATCCATGTAGTCCTCGCTAATCAACTTGCGAACAAACATAACTTCCTGTGTTACTTTCGAAATTAGTTTATTGCACATAGATTACCCTGGACCCTACTCACCAAGTGAATTACACTTGCACTTAAATAACCAGAAAGCTATTGTTACTGTAGTGTTGAAGCTTATGGTCCTCCTACCCACTGGGCTACAGCGAGCGGCTCCTTGTCTTTTCACAATTACTAGTCACTGAGTCGGACCGAACATACTGCTGTGTTCAAAAAGAAACTGAACTCGAAATAGCATCAACCAGCAAAGGGAGCGCACTGCGGCTAATGAGGGCACTCCGATTGACGGTCAGAGCGAAGCGCTTCGAGTGGCAGTTTACTGTCAACTTGCCATCATTAGCTGCAGCACGCTCCCTTTGTCGGTCCGCGCTTTATTATGCTTTTTAACACATTAGTATTTTTGTATAGCTTCCAAGCCGATAGTCACAACTGGAATGATTGCTTGCCTTGTTTAAGCAGCTTTTCTTGGTCCAACTTGTTTCGAACTTTCAAGAGAAATCTGTGTTGGATACTTCTACTTTCCTTCTTGTTTAAGCATGACAGACGTGCGCCAACGACTATCGTACTGTTAGTTCACAGGCCTTTTATCTTATCAGTGCATTAAGCAAACTCCTGCCCACCACTGTCATTACAATCAAAACTGAAATAAGGCTGTCCGACCTCATACTTCACTTGTAGCGGCGTTCTAGAGGATATGCTAAAAAGTCGTTTGAGTTATTTACAATAGTCGTTTGGGTATTGTAGTCAACCGACCTAATAAAATTAAGACGTTTCACATGCCACTCTTACCATCGCCTGCACTCCGTTACGGCATCTTGGAGCTTAGTGCTACCCTCCCGTACTCAAGACGTTAAGTATTCTTACGGGATCAGGTTTCTCATAGAGTTTTATGTTTCCTTCGGGGGTTACACTTGATCTCGTGGTTCCTCGCATGTTATCTGTTCACATTCTCGAACTGCAGATAATTTGAAACACCGGTAGCTCGGTTTGGTTGCTCATCTGTTGGTCAGGTCGCCTAGGTTAACATAATGGTTGCACACGTTTCGTCAACTTGCGACATGCTATCGTCAGCGCAGTGATATGTAGCGTACAAACCTATTAGTGAATAGTATGGATATTTCTTGGCTTTTCGAGAGGATTCGTTATAGATAGACTCAGTGTGACAGCCACCACATCCAGGAAAACGCTAGACGGCCATTTCGTCCGATTGGGACTGGTTAGTAGCGCGCACTCACCGAATCCTGCCGGATTCGAACCAACGACCTCACTCTTACGAGCCGACGACTTATGCCAGTGAGCCATGGGTAACGACAGCGAACCGTCATGACTGATATCTAACCGATATAGCGCGGCTCATCCTCCACTGTCATGCATGTTATGAACTTGCAGAGGACAGGACTGGCTCCCCAGGGCAACGACTTCTTCGCAAACCGCCGCCAGTCGAGGTGACGTAAGCTACCAAGGCGATTACTGATTATTAATTTTATTATTCTTAGTAATATATATGGTTCGTGCCATTCGGTTCCGGATTTGCCTGTCACTGCGGCATCCACAGGACGCCTGCGCCTACAGAAGAACCATGGGTGACTTGCGTCGCACCACCCACAGCTTTATCCATACACCAATTATCCAGTGTAAACCCGAAGGAATATGACCGGGATGGTGCATGTGGATGGGAGCCACGTTTCGTCAACAGAGCTGGCCCACACTCCAATGTGCACAGCAACAACATTATTGTTCATCTATATAGGGAATCATGCTTACCAGACGTACACAAGATGGTGACTGGGCCGTTCGACCACCGGTGCCTTCGCAGTTTGGCTCACGTCTGGTGGGAACATCGCATGAGCAACGAGCGTGATCGACGCCACAGGGAAAGGAAAAGAATCGCTCAGCATCGTCATTTCACGCACCAGGCTTCGATGGGCCGGCCACGTGTTACGCAGGCCAGCCCACTGGCTCCCGCGACGTGCGTTGTTTGCGCGCCGGGGGTGTGGATGGAAGAAGAGGAGAGGTGGCCAAGCGATGACTTGGTCGAAATTAATGAAGGCCATCACTTCGTAGCTGGCCTCGGTTGGAACATCTCAGCTCCCCGGTTGGGGTCAGAAAGATGATTAATACGTCTGACTGGATACACTTGCTGACATGGCTATGAACCGACCTCAGTAGCGTTCGTGCTGTAAGTTTCTTTGTCTCTCCCTATCCCTCTTAACCTCCTGCTCTAACGGGCATCTAATTTCTTAGCATAATATGATTTTATCTAATAATTTTTTGTTGCCTAGTGGCCAGCTGGTAGCCTTCCAGAACGATGCCCATCCATTGCTGGTAGCTCAGCTGACATGCATCTGTCGTACGTTTTTTCTCTTTTTTGTTTTATGTATTGAGGCACAGTAGCCGAGGTGTTTTCCAGCTCTAGCTGGCGTGTACTATGAATGGTGATGATGGCTAGGCCGTAGTCGCTCCACACTGGGTGGAACTACTCTTTGAGTTTAGCACGGTCTCCAGGTTTGTGCACCCCTTATCCCCAGCAAAGATTAACGTTCTTCTGGAGCCAGTAATCGAGGTGGAGGCTGTTAGACAGGTAGGCACCTTGTTAACATTCACATCAAGCGCTGTCACATCGAGGATATGAATCAAGAGCCAACATCCGAAATGCAAGAAACTCAGCACGTAGGCACACAAACAGACCAACTGCAGCAGCAGTGGAACACATGTATTACATTAACCGCTTGGATTAGTGGATTAAATTGAATCGAAAACCGCTCCTTTAATAAACGCTGCGCCGTTTGTTGATCATCTATTCAGTTGATCAGTTGCCTTTTCGATGTTGGACACATGTCGACGTTGGTAGTTTACTAAGACGACTTAGCTCAGGTACTCGCGACCACATGTACTACGGCACCATGCGATCGATGTCGATTGGCTATCCTCCGGCGCCGGTCACTTCCGTGGCCGGCATTCCTTTTCCGCATGCAACGGTGATTCCTCATGCATCTGGGCAACCGCTTTCTTAATGAGCCCACGCTATTTGCACCGATCAACTGCTTTTGGAGCCAACTTTAATTCGTGTTGAACTCACCTTGATCATATCCTGGTAACGTCACACATTCCGCTTCCCTGCACGCGATTGACCAGAAAACTACTGTTTCGTTATCCGTGTCATCACTATGCGGCAAACTTGCCTGAGCCACTTCTGGTGGCTCAGCAAAAGCATGCACTTCACTGCATACATGCCACTACTGCGGAACACTTTCGTGTTAGCAATTCTGTCACTCCAGCCGATTCGCAGCATACCAGATAGGCATTGTGCTTGACATCGCTCTAAATATCGGACATCCTCCCTGCACATCATCCAGGTCACTGCCGCTTAGAAGAACGGACTTGTATGCCATCAGCTTCGTCCAGCAGTAAGCTGATGATTGTTTCACACGTATTTCCAGCCTTCCAAATGCGGCAGCCGTTTTCCATAGGTAGATACGCAGCTGGCTCATAATATGCTAGTCTGTAGCCATTTTGCTTCCTAGGTGGCAGAATCTCGAAGTACTTTCTAAAGTCTTGTTGCCAATGTGGATTTGCGGCAGGCCCACGGACCATTACTGATGTGGGCTGGCTAAGACAAACATCCCTGCTTGTGTTGATGATAAGCCCGAATTTAGCCTCTGTCTAAGTGACACCCTGAGTCTTGTGCTGCAATTCATCCGCGCTGTGTGTAAACAACGCGGGGTCATCAGCAAACGGCAACATACGGTTGGTTGTTTCACGCACTATGGCTCTGGCCCCGAAACGACGAATGTTCAGCAAACCACCACCAATACAGTGCTTTACACGGACACCGTAATCAAAAGCAGCATCGAGCAGCATTGTATGGAGGTAAATATTAAACAGGGCAGTGGCTAAGACACAGCCTTGCTTTACACCGGAGATGACGTCAAAGTCATCCGGGGTTTATCCACACAGCTGCACCTTCGCCTACCTACCGCTGTGCAAACATTCAGTTAAACTTGCAAAAAACCAAACCTACCCAACACCAACCACAATGCTTCGCGATTCACTGTGTCAAATGCTTTGATGAAGCCAACAAGCAATGAATACATTGACCAGTGTCTCTCTGCATTTTTCCTGTAACTGACGAGGCGCGAATACCATATCGATGATGCTACGGCCTATACGCAATCCGCATTGTTCTTCCGCCATATGTGGTCCGACGACCAGATTGACGAGTTTGGGCAGGATTTTGACGATCACTTTATCCACACAACTTAGCTGGTTGATGCCACGATACTTCGTGACACATTCTTGAAGTCAGTCGGCACTTCCTCGTCAAATCACACGCGCTGTATCAAGTGGTGCAACGCATTTGCCAACGCGAGTCCGCCGTGTTTCGACACTTCTGGCGATACCCCGTCGGCTCCGGCACACTTGCCGTTTTGCAACCGAGAAAGTGCTCTCT